GCCCCCCCCGAGCCGTTTCTTCAGCCCCCCCGACCTGATTCCTGTAGCTCCCCCCCCTGAACGACTAGAAGAAAAAAAACAATTTAGAAAGCAAATAAGATTTGTTTTGTGGTTGTTGTTTTTTAGTTAAGATTTTGTTGTTTTTTGAGGAGCCCCCCCCCCCCCCCCCCAACGCTCACGTAGTGGGCGTCGGTCAGATTTCTAAAATCAGCCCTTCTTCTGTGGTCTTTGCTGAAGCTGCAGACCGACGTGTCCGAGGTCTCTAAATGTTGTCGGACGTAAAAAACGAAAAGAGCAAAGACCCTTTTGAACTGCACTGTGGTAAACAAGCACCTCCACCCGCCCCCCCGAGGTGGAGAAGAGACGGAGTGTGGTGCTACTGTAAGAAAAGATAAAGCAATGCAAACGTGTAGGGGCACAAGAGGGGGGGGCACTTTATGTTCTGTTGTAATGAGCAGTTTGTTTGCGTCGCCTTGTGAAGTGCCTGCAGCTCAGAGCCCCACGTGCAGCCGAGTCACCATGACTACTGCACGCACACACGCACACAGACACACACACGCACACAGACACACGCACACACAGACACACACAGCCAAAAACAAGGCAACCAAAATGTCGGCCTCCGATTGAGGAACATGGAGGCAGAAGCCGCTCAGCTTTGTTTCCAGCCTTGATGAGCTCTCGTCTGGGCGGCGTTCCAAATCTCTGCAACGCGCCGCCGGCCCTCCGACAGAAGCTCCACTTCCTGTCTCCGCTGGGGGAGGAGCCCTGACCTCCTCACCTCCTCGAGGGGCCCGAGCTTTTGAGACGGGGCGCTGCGATGCGCCAGAGCACCTTTAGTGGAGCGTGACTTTGCATAAAGTCAGCCGGAGACAGAGGGAAGTAAACAGTCCTCAGCCCCCCCGCCCCCCCCCCCGAGGAGAAAGTGAAAGCTGGATCCACATTGGCTGTTTAGTTGGGGGGGGGCTGGACTTGGCAAAATGGTCAACGAGCTTTTCGGTTCTGTCTCCGTGGGCCTCATTACGTACAGAGACAAACACGCTTTTGATCCGGTTGAATTCTGCCGCGTTCCGTATGTTCGTCATCTTAGCGCCTCGTCGTCGGTTTTACGCTGTAACATTTATCGTCGTTAAGCGGCTCCGTGAGCGAAACGCCGTCACTTCTCCTTACTCGCATTTCCCTTATTGTCTTTACACATTTTTACCACAAATGCTCTTTTACAATGACAAACATTCCTATGTTAACGTTAGCGTGGCGCAATCCAAGCGTGATCAGAGAAGAAGGACGTCTGATAAAAAAGGGGCGGGCCTTGATAGTCCATTGATTGATGGCCGCACTCGGCTGTCTGATCTCACCTGACGGAGGAAGCCGAGTTGTTCTCTGCAAAGCTGCTGGTGTTTTTACAGCTCGTGTGTCTCCGCTTTATTCAAAGATAATCATCAGATGACGATGACGATGATGACGATGATCCTCGAGAGGCGGCTGAGACGAACCTCCGTGGCTTTTAACCGACAGCCCGGTTGTCGTCGCGTTGCATGATGGGAAGCGATGCAGCGCAAACATTCCACAACGTCACGTCACATATTATGTACAGCAACACGTATACTTCTTCCCGTCTCCGTAACCTAGTAACCACGATAACACATTAACACACATCTTTAACGTAAGTTACCTTTAAGAAAATAGTTACAAAACAAACAAAAAAAAAAATACAAGTGCCGTACAAATAGAAGCCTAATATTTTGTTTTGTGTGAGTGTACTGTACACCTGTATTATGTATATTTTAATATTTATATGCAGCTGTTGTATTAAAAGTATATTTTTAAAATAAAAGCGTCTCCGTGTTGCTTTAAACCTTAACGTCTCCTCAGGAACCTGCTGCGCGGTGCTGATGTTTCCAGGTGTTGGATCAGTGGGCGCCTGAAGGCCGCACGCCGGTCACTGCACCGAGGATTGTTTCTTACGGGCTGGAGACGCGAGGCGGCTGAAGATCAGGCTCCTCCCCCAAAAGGTCGAACAGGGTCAACGTAGAAATACGCAGCCGACATGTTTGCGGTGAACAGAACGGACTGATGCTTTATGGAAAGGACCCTTTATTGGACCGGAATAGATTCTATTCACATGTTAGAAAGGTGCCTTCATCACAGTCAAACATTGCACGACGCCCAGCTCTGGAAGGACACACTCCACCGGGACCCATCGGAGAGGTCAAAAGGTCAAGTGAGGGGAATGCAGGGTTAAAAAAACAAAATGCTTCTGTCGCCGTTTAGAAGTGAAGACGCTGCAGGACTGAGGGAGAAGTAAAGGAGCTGAGACAAGGACAAACACACGGGGACAGTTTGACAGGTGAGTGTCGGGACGCATCAGCGTCACCGCCAATAGGAGGCCTGTGTGTGTGTGTGTGTGTGTGTGTGTGTGTGTGTGTGTGAGAGAGAACAGAGGCCGCCTCATTGGGTAGAAAACCTTCCCACAGTGGGATCAACGCGTCATTCGACTCCTCTGGAAGCTTCAGCTGCTGCTGCTCACATTTGTATCGTCATGCTTTCTCTGCATCTGCACAGTCAGCACATCTGTGCAGTTTGCACGTTACGTAAGAACAAACAACTGGCCTCAGTTACAGCTTTGAAATGCTTCTTTTTGTGGCTTTTTTTCCTCATAAATGGCGATTTCAGAAACCGCGTCAGACGTTACGAACCACGCTCTCTATTCAAGGAGTTATTGCATTGAGAGTGTTTCAAATCCCGCCCTGAAGGGGGCTTCTTTGCTGCCCCCCCTCCCCACACATAAAAAACATCATCACAAGTGGCGTCGGAGCATCAAATCAAGGAATGTTCTGGCGTGTCACCAGATGCAGACACATCTGGAATACAACCCTACAAAAATATACAAACTCTCCCACAACAAAAGAGGAAGAAACCGTGAAGAATCACGAGAGGCAACGCTGCCCTTAAGATGTTTAACATTTAATTAGCCGACGTTAGCATGCTAAGTGGCTACGCTCTCCCACTGAATTACTTGTGGAGTCCCTGCTGTGCCGCGTGGACTCTCCTCCGTCCCCCGGAGAGACGCAGAGGACGAGCTGCCACGGCGATGAACAGACTCTCCGGGCTCCTCCTCCTCCTCACGGGAGGAGGGCTTCTCCTCTCCTCGGCCTACAGCAGGTTGAGGGTGTCGGCCTGCCGCTGCTCGCGCTGGTGGATCCTCCGCAGGCGCAGGATGTACAGCAGGATGGCGAGCAGCACCACCAGGATGCACAGCGAGAACAGGTGGTGGTTGTAGACGAAGGAGGAGCGCAGCCAGCTGGGGTGGTTCTGCCTCAGCACCTCCTGCCGCAGGTCTCTGCAGGGAGGGGTCAGAGGTCACATCTCGATCGTAGTGTATTCATCTACGTCCAGGGACGGAAGACGGAGGGCAGCCGTGTTCTTTATTTATCCTTTCACCTCTGCAGTAGTGAGATCGTAGTCACCTGTCTTCATGTGTGTGTGTGTGTGTGTGTGTGTGTTACCTGAGGGGCAGGAATCGGGTTTTGAAGAGGATGGCTCTCAGAGTCACTGGACCTCCTTTGTCGTGGACCAGCTGGGGCCGTTTTCAGGTTTGGTAGTCGGGGGGGAAGCGAAGCCGGAGTGCAGCACCTTCTACATGCAGGCGACTTGGAGCACTGATACCTGAGAACACGCGCGTCACCTGATCACACATCAGTGCTTTAGAGCAAAAGAAGAGCGCGTGAAGCCTAGTTTATGCTCCTGCGTTTTCAGAGACGCAAGAGTCCCGTGTCCCCTCGCGTGTCCCTTTCGTGTCCCTCGCGTGTCTTTTCACACCTCCTTGTGTGCGTCGACCCATTTTTCTAGACTAGCGTCTAAAGCGACGCAGCCTCCTGCAGCACCAGGCTGTGATCGGTCTCTGACTACGTCCTTTACGGAGTCTCACGTCTCCGTTTTCACAGCACAATACGGCCGTTATTAAAAGGAAGAACGTTTACGAGAGAACGGATCAGATTGAAGAGCTTTTAAATATGAGCGCTTGTACAAGCCGTCATTGGCGGACTATGAGGACGCCGGATGGCCTCTGATTCATGGAGGGAGATCTCCACAAACGAGGGGAACAAAGTCGTGGAGGAAAATACGGGGCAAATGTGTCCTTGATGAAAAGCAGCAGTGTGGATGCACGGGGCAATAAAGTCTATGATCAATAAATAAAGCAACCAACGACTTCCACACACAAAGACGTGACTCTGCAGGTCGTCTTCAACAAAACACGTGACTCCACCTGTTGTTCTGGAGGTGAATCGCTCTGCGACACACGCGAGACTTTACAACCAGGAAGTGAGACGAGACGCAGATGTGACTCAGCAGCGCCTCCTTGTGGTGCTAAACAACACGTTTACACCCCAAAACAAACCCGCGACATGTGGTAACTATTCCAGTAAATCTAATATCTATCTGCGGGGACACATCTGGCAGCAGCTGTCCTCTCACCACGTCTTAAACTCAACTTTCAGAGGCACGAAGCATCTCCTACAAAGGATAATAGTGTTTACTCTTATTCATCTAAAGTCAATCTATTAACTCACACGTTCTATAGCAATTCTAATTCAGTACTAATTGCTGTTGAACAAGGAAAACTTGTAGTATTCCCTGTAAATTATACCGGGAAGTGGATGAAAACAGACACATTTTATCCAAAATAATTCATTGTGTGTTTTGTGGGGCTTTTGAGTTGGTCTTTCCTCAACTGATCGGGTTCATCTCAATATATATATATATACACATTGTTTTATTTATATATATTCATTCATTGATATACTGAATTGTTTGAATAAGATAAGAAATGTTGCAAAAAACTGCAAAGTAATAATGCATGTTTGATACCCTTTTTTGCATTGAATCATACTGAGATGTTCACTGAAACTGGTTGGCCGCTACTGATTATATATATATATATATATATATATATATATCACTATGATTAAACAAAAGAAAGAACCCCTCCCAACGAGAGGAGCACTGACTTGAGGCGGCTGACGTCGGCCTGCTGGGAGAAGAGCTTGTTGTCCAGACGCTGCTGGAGGACGGACCACCTGGTGAGGCAGTAATCCTGCAGAAAAACAAACCGTCAGCCTCCTGCCATCAAGCAGCCGCGTCGACTTCTGACTGGCGGAGAGGAAACGGGTACCGTGGCGGCTCTGGAGTACTTGTGGCTGTCGTACGGGCCCCCCATCCTCAGGACGTCCTCTGTGCAGTAGAAGAACTCGGAGAAGCCGTAGAACTCGCTGTTGCTGAAATTGATGGGCGCCTAAAAAAAAAAAAAGGGGGAAACAACATGGGATTAAAGGTGATCCGGCATCGTGAGGATCCAGGTGATCCAGTGAGGGGGGGGGGGGTACCTGGTAGACGCCGCCCGGCGACATGGTGCCGTTGTGGAGGCCCAGGAAAGGTCGCACGGCCTCTTGGCACCGGGCCCAGTCGCCCCGGCCCCTCAGGTACACGGTGCGGTTGTCCCTGACGACGGTGTCCGCCGCGCTGACGGGCAGGCAGGGGTCCAGGTACGGCTGCTCCTCGCTCAGGCCCGTCTGCGAGGCGAGGAACCTGCGAGGGGGGAGAGGAAGAGCTCACCCGTGGCCCTTCATCAAAAAGAGCAACCGCAACCAGGGGCGGGGCCTGAGTTCCGGTCCGGTTCTGGAGGAGAGAGTCCGAACCTGTTCTTCGCCACGGTGCCGTTGAGCAGGCGGTCCTCGTACCGCTGCCGGGCCATGTTCCCCCCGAAGCCGAGGAAGGTGGCGACGTAGACCCGGTAGACGTGCTGCGTGTGCTCCACGTCGCAGCCCAGGTTGAACTCGGCCAGGACGCTTTTTCCCGCCTCCTCCTGAAACAAAAAGACCCATTTTTTTAAAACGTCAATCACGGCTCACCCCCGATCACCCGATCACCTGCAGTGTTCCCGCTCACCTCTTGCGGCGAGCTGAAGGTGATGGCGCTCGGCACCTCGTAGGCGATCTGCAGCGAGGCTCCGCCCATATCCATGATGCCCACCGTGCGCCGCCTGCTCATCGGCTGCTGGTTCTGAGCGCCCGTCGTCACCTCGACTGTCGCGTCTTCTGAGGAACACGGAGACGTTATTTAGAGTCCATATTAGAGTGATTAGTGGACGTTACATGAGAGAAAAAACAAAGTAATGTTCAGCTGTATTCACAATACTTTCATCGCTTTAAAGACACCAGACTCCTTTGAGAAAAACACTCATTTTAAATCACAGAACCTGCATTCGGAAAAACCGAACCCAAAGGAAAATCTCCTCCCATGTCTCCCTGCTCATGCTGGTCGGCAGTTTGTTGGAGTTACTGAGTGACACACTGACCCTTGACCCTGAGCCTAGAAACACAAAGGTCACATTATATAGCGATCTAGTTGATTGAGGCAGAGCAGCAGCTCTTGTGTCCTCACAGGTAAAACGATGCTTTTGTCAAAGGAGTCTGGAGGCTGACAGACTTCCACAGAATCAACTTTGCTGGAGATGGAGAAGAGAGACTTCTGAACACCTTCGCGCTCACCTTCATCGGCGTGATCGAAGCGGCCCAACACGAAGTTAATGCCGATCCACGCGTACACGCCTTCAGCGGGGGACACCGGGGGACAAAGGACAGGCGGGACGCAGTCAGCAGGCGTTAAAAGGTCGTGGACGTTCATGCCTCACGCCACCGCCTCACCTTCTTGTTTCCCGGAGATGACCTCGGCGTGGGAGCTGGAAAACAGGAAGTTGAACTGCAGGGGGACGTCGGTCACCAGGTCCTGCAGGATGTCCGTCTGCTGGCTGGATGCAGAGAGACAAGGAACGGGATTATTACCGAAGGTTCTGAAGGACACGTGACGGGGCGTCAGGTGGGAGCCGGGGGGGGGTTCTGTGGTTCCCGGGTCGCTCTACCTCTCCGGCAGCAGCCTCATGCCGGCGGTGCAGAGGATGTAGAGCGGCGTCTCCTTGTGCTTGCTGCGCGGCACGTGGGCGGCGGCGAAGTGGAGGGAGAGGGTGGAGGTAGTCGCTGGCCTGCGTCGGCGCCGTCGCCAGGGTGGAGATACCTGAGGAGACGCACGGGGGCAGTTTCCATGGTTACTACGTGGTTTGCATGCTGCGAGGCCTTTTAGAGACGGTTTATCTCTTGGATCTGTAGATTTCACTGTCTCCGGGAATCAGATCTGGAATGATTGAACTGTGAGGACATCGTGGGACTCGGAGTCCAAACTGCCACGCGAGACAAACCGAGAGGATCTAATCTGCACTCTGGGACTGAGATAAAGTCCCCCGATGGTCCCTTATTGACTTATTACCTCACTGAGGTAGTAAGTCGACCATCAAGGTGAACACGAGCTTTGCACGCGGCTCTACGTCTTCCACACTCCGCTTTGACGGACGGAGACAAGCACTGATCCTCCTCCAGCTGCACAGAGACGTCTGCTGAGTCCCACAATGAGGACGGTTTCTGTCCTTTTCACCGCTAACTCGGCACAGAACACTTATTCATGGCCCCGGTTTGTTTAGAAACAATAAACAAACATTGAAATGAAGAAATAAAGCGACTGAGAGATGCTGCTTTCCCACAATGCACCGGGGGGGGGGGCGAACTGGGCTCCATCGCAAAAACAACTCGCAGCGCGGCGACACGAAATCTGCCACGCGCACGTCAGACCGACGGGGCTCCGCCTCCTCACCGGGCTTGATCTTCTTGACGACCGGCTTGCGGTCGCGGTCCCTCATCTGCCGGATGTCCCGCAGCGTGTGGGGGTTCCCGTTGTGGGGGGGCCAGTAGTACACGAAGACCCGAGAGCCGCTGCTGCCACAGTCCACCACGACCCCGTAGTTCAGAGCCGCGTCCGAGACGTCGGTGACCTCCATGGACTCTGCGATGGAGAGGTATCTGTGTGGGTGGGGGGGAGGGGGGGGGCAGAGGAACATGAGCTGAGGAACGTGCTCCGTAGATACTGAATGTAAAGGAAGCTGGCGAGTGAATAGTTTCAGTTTCAGGTCCTGCAGCTGGTTCCTCGTCCCTCAGGCTCCACCGGCTCCACCGACAGGTTCCTGCTGCTTTGCATGAAACCTCTAAAACACACAGCAGACCTCCGGCCTTCTGAGGACAGCAGCTGCAGACGATCCCACGCGGGGGTCCACGCCGCTTTGAGCCGACTGGCCTCAATAACACACTTATCAGCTGACGTTCAGGTGGGAGCAGCAATGTGGGAAAGTGGGTGGATTCTACTTTTCCTTTACAATTAATTGGTGTTTACAAAGCGTTTACAACATGTTTACAACACGTTTACAACATGTTTACGGTGGTCGTTTCCTTTGGAAAAGCCTTTCAGAATTCTGTCAATCAAACGACCGGGTCCTTCCTCTCCGGACGGGCCGAGGACTCGGCGTTCACTCACTTGTTGATGTGGGAGCCGGGCCGCCGCGGCGGCGCCGGGCCCCACAGGCGCCTCTGGTAGGTTCCCAGGAGGAGCAGGGCGGAGGCGACGAGGAGCAGCAGCAGGAGCCGCTGCCTGGGGGCGCAGCCCACCGACAGCAGGGACACGCTGCAGTACCAGGAGGCCGGCAGGCAGGAGGAGGAGATCCTCGCCATGTGTCCCGGTGGAGGAGTGGGGGGGGAGGGGGGGATTCAAGATGTCACAGACGTCACCTCATGGTGCCTTCGGTCTGATCGGGATGCCGTCCAGTCATTCGTCTTCTGCCAGAAGAGAAAGGAGGCGAATAGCAGACGATAGTAAAGAAATCCAGTTATGAAATGAATCAAACTGATAAATGTTCTGCCATCGTCCTGGTTTCTGTTCTACTCGCTCGATTATTATTCCTGAGTATTTGCAGAACATTAACTTGTTTAGCGATTAAAGGTGTGTGTCCCAATGGGATCCATAAATGAAGTAATTACTCTGACCTACATACACAATGACGTCACTGCACTTTATAGCATCAAAGGTCAGACTTCTATTGATGTGCTGAAATTCCACCATAGAAAAAAAGAAGCCGAATAAAAGAAAACGGAACAAAATTCACACGGTATTATCGGTGTGTAACACTGGTATAACATGTTACATGTTACTGCAGCAGATATCAAGTACAACACGTATGTGTGGGTTACATGTGTGTAGCATATTACGTCACGTAAACCACGTATAGCGCAGTAAATGAGCACATGGACACGTGTTTTTAAATGAACATAAACGACGTAAACACGGAAGACACGCGAAACACACGTAACGGCTACCGGCTACCGGCGGGTCACCGTGTGCTAGCGGTAACCGTCCATATGCTCCCTTCCTCCCGCCATCAGCTCACCTACACGCGCCGCAGCTCCGCCATGACAGCAGCAGGTGTTCCTCCGCCGCAATGCACGCGCGCAGGTACACGTTTGGGTCTCAGGGGGATTATTAAAAACAATAAAAGGAGGAAGAAGAAGAAGAAGAAGAAGAAGAAGACCCAGGCAGAGACGAACAGGAGGAAGTGATCGAAAATCCAACACACTTCCGGTCTGCCTGCGCACTTACGTCATCGTACACGTCATCGGATGTACGGATGAGGCGGGCAGTATGAAGCGGCTTTAGCCACGCCCACTCCGAGTCACCCGCGAAGGGGGTGTGGCGTGTGCGATGCAAAGATGATACAAATGGATTTATTTGACTTTGAATAATTATTTTATTATCATTGTACATGCTAGTATTGGATGGTCAGAATCTATTATTTATGGGCAGTTTCATCTTCATCCCAAAAAGATTATGTCATATGTGATTGTGATGTACAGATCGAGATCTATATTTAGAATGTTTGGACATTTTATTTTTATAGGTGTTCATATCCACATTTTCACTCCCAACTCGAGGCAACATGCACCACCGTGTGGCCACATGACAGCAAGCTGTAGATGATTGTCAGCAGTTGCTTTATTCAGCGACACCACAACAGCGAGTAAAGTAAAGAGTTATAAATCATTTCTAACATAACAATCGATTACAGCACCTTTGCATTATATAGGCTTAATCTGGCCAGTATCAGAAACACTTTTATTTTCAAGTAAGAAATAGATAATAATGACCAAGTGGGACATTTCAGTTGGTTGTATTGAATTGTTGAATTTGTTATTGTAATTGCTTCAATGTTTTCTTAGTTGTTTCTTTCTGACTTCACACACAGAGCTCTGTGCGCCAAAACCACCAGACACAAAAACATCTACTTCCCTCAGGCCTCTCTGAGGAACAGCTCATCATTCCATATCTGTTGGACTATACAAAAAAGTGTAATGTAAGTGCATTTCCACCATAAGGATACAAACCCAGAAGAAGGAGAAACAAGATTTACAACTTGCTATAGATACGAGCCATTATAAGTGCAATGTAAGTGCTACAATTTGTTAGTCTTTTAGTGGAGGTAGAGAGAGCTCGTTCCGCCATTTAGGAGCAGTCGGTTGAGTGTTGATAAATACTTATTTCTTATACTTATTTTCTAAATTCCTTTTTCTTAATTTCACTTTCCTTTCCCTCTTAAGTTGTAGTGCACATTTTTAGTTACGGTTTCAATTCCAACTCGGGACGTCCTGTTTCGGACACTTCCCATAAACACGCGTGACCTCCTGATGTTATAAAATCAACCGCACCCACTTTGGCCGAAGACCCCGCCCACTTAAATTACCCGCCTTATTACCAGACGGACTCGGCCAATCGGAGGGGCTTATTAGTCACTGACAGTCAGCTCGACCAATCGGCTTCAGCTTTTGCCGTGACTCACCGGCAAACCCACCGAGGTCCCTCCTGCCTGGCGTCCCGGTTCACGGGCTCTCCACAGCTGCCTGCCGCGCAGTTGCAGCGACTCGCCCACACTCCGCGTCCCCGGCCGGGAGACCGACTGAGCTGCCGGGATAGAGCGCTCGGTTTTTGAGAGCTTCTACGCGGCGTCTACCTTTTTTTTTTTCCATCTCGGGTGGAAGCGGACGGTTTTGTGTCCCGGGCAGCGTCCATGGAGACGCCGGGGGTAGACAGCCGGGTTCCGGGCGCCGCAGCCGGGGCAGAGCTTCGATGGATGGGCGGCAGGCTGCTGGACGCCACGGGGGGCTTCGTCGGGTCTCTTTCGCCGAGAATCCCAGGGGAGCAGGACTTTACCCCGGTGTTGCATCGATTGACTCCCACGGAGACAACGACCTCCGCGGAGCCCGAAATAGACTACGAAGGGCTGCCTCCAGGAGCGGCGACCAGCACGCACATGCTGGCGGGGTCCGTGGCCGGAATCATGGAGCACTGCCTCATGTACCCCATCGACTGTGTCAAGGTATACAAGAGCTGCTCGCGACGTGTCCGAATAGTCTGCGTGGCCCTTTCGCGTCACAACGGCGGCTGTTAACGTTAAATGTTAGTGAGTTAAACCCCAGCGCTAACGGAGGCCCAAATACAAGCCGGAGCTCGATTAATGTCAGGCTATGAGCTAAGCTAGCTAACAGAGGTCAGTTAACTAACTTAGACAGCGTTACATAAACGTAAAATAAACGCAACACAAGGTTGTCAAAGTAATACAAAAAACGCTAGCTGGGTGAGTACGTTTGCAGAATTTTAACGTTTCAATAATTAATTTATTGAGTAATTAGAAATTGACAATATCGTCTACGCTCCCGACATTAGCCTGCTAGATAGCTAGCGCTAGCAGCAGTTTTACCTTTTGGCTAACATGCCTCCATTATCGGACACGTCTTACTCTTTATGGAAGTAATACAGCTTCCTTAAGTCACCACTTCCCCCCACAGTTCTTATTTAAATGGTTACTTCGCCATTTTCAATTACGGCTAAGAGGTATATTTCCTATATGTACTTTTTAAAAACAAACGAGTGTGTTAATGAGAATACTTTGGACATCACTGAGGATGTGACCGAGGAGGTCGTGGTGAAGGTCTCCGTGTAGAGAAGATGATTTAACGTGCAGGACTCCTTCTGTCTCTAATCTAGGTCAAAGGTCGACAGCCCGCTGATTCTGACAGAAGACAGCGTGTCTTATCAGCTACCAATCCGTCAATCAATACAGCGGACACCCCTGGATGGTTTTATGACCGTATGATGTAATGATGGAAGTGTAGCGGACACAGTTTGACTACCAGCTTCTATTCGTGTGAATGTGCGTTTGTCAGGAGTTGCACAATATGAGAGACGTCACGTGGTCCGTCTCAAAGAGACCACCAATCCCCCACAATGCATTGCACCGCATTCGCATGGAGGAAAGGACACATTGTGGAAAAATGACTTAAATCTCATTGATGTTTTGGCGTTTGGACATGAATTCTCTTTTCAGACTCTCGTGTTGTTCAGAAGATGAAGAACATTGTTCCTCTTGAGCCGTCGTGGGTCAAACAAAGTTCTGTAATAACAGATTCCTTCATGATGAGTTCACACAATCCACTGCAGGCTTCTGTCACAATGACCTTTCTGTCAGTTACAGCAGGTCGAAGAAAACATTACTGTGACTCACTTGGCTGGAATTGTGTTACTTTGAATTCCCATCGTGTGTGTGTGTTTTTGTTCAATAGAAAGCATTGAACATAAATCTGAATCCGTGCAGCTTAAAACGGGCCGGTCGGGTCTCCGGTTCTGACGTCTTGTCTCGTGTTGCTCCGTCGCTTGTTTCAGCCTCACAGTCGGAAGGAGGAAGCACAAATGTTTGTGGGTGTTTCTTACAGTAATGTTTGGCACGCAGCTTCCTCTATTCCAAGACCTTTTTTATTTTTACAATCTTAGTTCCTTGTTGGCAAACGTGTTTAATCTATTAGTTCATTCTTGCCAGTAAATCGTGACTCGATTTCCTGTTTCCGGATCCATCCGAGGACTTTCCAGAGTTACTTAAACCTGGAAAACCGTAGCTCTTCTCTTCTTTTCTTCATTGGCGCACTTATAACAGACGGTATTTTACATAATGTCGCAGCAATGTTGAGTATTGACTATTTTTTTTCATATCTTCATACTTGCCAAGCCTTTTGATGTTTAAATCATTGGAACGGACGTTGTTTGGACACATATATTCTCTTATTTGACCCGTCCAGCTTATTGATCCCACACGCCAACAAGATGTCCTCATTAGAGACGTCGTAGTGTTTCTGTCAACGACTACACACAAAGGACGTGTTGTGTAGCGACAGCGACGAGCAGTCTGACACAACGGAAACGTGCACAATATTTGTAATGTCAACACAGAATATAACTGAAGTGTTCGTACACATGGACAATGTGTGGAACATCTTTTACCGAATCACACGTTACCAGCGTTCATCGGGGTCTCCATCACTTCCTGTTAACACGGGTCAATGCATGACCCCCCCCCGCCCCCCCTCGTGTCACAGCGGGACGGTGACGCCGCCTGATCGCCACTCAGCTGGTGCTTGTGTGATGTGTGAACACAAAGCGCTCTGTGTCGTCCTGCTGAAGCACGTTGGAGGGGGGGGGCTTCACTTACTGCATGTTAGGAAAAGGGTTTCGATTGCGCAATCTTCATCTGGGGGGATTTTCCCGGGCTTACGGATGTTCACCAGCCAGCGGCGGGTGGTATTTGTTTTGCACCACTTCCTGTGTGCACTCGACGCGCTCCTCCTCCCTCAGGTCTGGATGGTGGTTCACAACCTGGACGCTTGAGATGAATACAGCTGGAAGCTTCAGTGGTTTTCATTAATGGCACGTTTCCACTGAGCGGGTCGGGTCAGTACCCTTTTATTTGTGTCTCCACTGCCAAAAGTTGAGAATGGTACCAAAAATCCGACCCGTAGCACTTTTTGGGTACCCTTCCGTTGGGGCACCTGGCACAGTTGTTTGGTACTAAAGGGCGGAGCTAGACTCTCTGCAGAGCGTTGATTGGTTGAACGAGTGTCGTCATTTGCGCGTGCCGCAAGGGGGAAGACAACACGCGTAACACACCTGCAGCGTGTAGCCTTTGCTCAAACAAAGAGTGTCGTCTCCTTGTGACAAACAGCCACATATGGAGAAGCAGGAACAGGATCGGCTGTATGTCCTCCGTCGTTGTTCGCGGTTAGCTTTCAGTTTTCGCGTAATCGAATGACGTCAATCTACTTTCCGCCATGTACCACGCCTATCAAGTGACTTCATCACTACCTTCTGGAATACACCACGCCTCTCAAGTAAGGGTACTGTTGGCGGTGGAAACGCTCGCCAAATCATGGTTAACCGACCCGTACCGTACCGCTCGGTGGAAACGCGCCATTAGTCGTCAGTGTGAGACACAAACGCATCTTACACACGTTGTGCGTTCTTCAGCCACCGCCCTGAATGATGAGTGTACAATGATTTGGCGTCGGCTCCTCTCCCATCAGACCCGCATGCAGAGCCTCCACCCGGAGCCGGCGGCGCGCTACCGGAACGTGATGGACGCCCTGCGGCAGATCGTGCGGACGGAGGGCGTGTGGCGGCCGATCCGGGGCGTGAACGTGCTGGCGGTGGGGGCGGGGCCTGCCCACGCGCTCTACTTTGCCAGCTACGAGAAGATCAAGTTCTCGCTCAGCGACTCCGTCCACCCGGGCGCCAACAGCCACTTCGCCAACGGTAGGAGGAAACGTCTTGAGGCTCGAGTGCTGAAACTCCTGTTGGATCAGAGACGACAGTTTGACGACGTTGGAGAAGTTTGTTCAGGCTTAACGAATCGTTTTGTCTGCTCTGCAGGAGTGGCAGGTTGCGTAGCAACAGTGCTGCACGACACCATCATGAACCCAGCTGAAGGTAAAGCCCCCCCCCCCACACACACACACACACACACACACACTCAGACTTCTTTGTGACTAACATTAACATTGGTGGTGAAATAAAGCTTGACTCACCGATGATCAGGACGTTATGGATGTTTGTGAGAACGGAGAGCTAATAACCGCAGCAGCACCAGTAGCGTTGTGATGCGTTCAGGCTCCGAGTGAATACGAGTATTGGGCGAAGGTGAATCATCTCATCGTGATGTGTTGGATGGATTATCGGTGATCAGTCGCCTCGGCGTCCTTCTGTCCTCTGGACACTTGATGGTGCTAAAGACTCGTCATCGGTCCCAGAGAGACACGAATATACAATGTGGGCTCGCTTCGTGTTTAATATTGAGAATCAATATTAACAGACTGTTTCGTGTAGTTTGAGCAAGTCGACGGATGTTTATCTCAACTAACACACTTTTTTTAATCATTTAATAATTTAATCTAATTAATACTTCCATAAAACTAGTATTTAATGTTAACATGTTAAAACTGAACATTATGAGTAGATACTTATTATCATATTAAGAACAAGTAGCGTTATTGGATGTGATTACTGAAGGTGTTATTCCCTTTAACTCATTTATTACCTTTCTAAACATATTTATTATCGTATAATACACCCAGAAATTCTACTCAACATTAATGGTATTAAGATTATTGTGTTTTTATGACGGTTTAGTTCCTTCCCTCTGTCCTTCCTTCCTAGTCGCTCTCCTCGGTTCCTCATTTCATCCCTTAACGCTCGTCTCCTGTCTGTCGCCCCCCAGTCGTGAAACAGCGGATGCAGATGTTCAACTCCCCGTACCGCGGCGTGCTGGACTGCGTGGGCTCTCTGCTGCGGCGCGACGGCCCGGCGGCGTTCTACCGCAGCTACACCACCCAGCTGACCATGAACGTGCCCTTCCAGGCGCTGCACTTCATGACCTACGAGTACCTGCAGGAGCTGCTCAACCCGCACAGACAGTACAACCCGTCCTCCCACGTGGCGTCGGGCGCGCTGGCCGGGGCCCTCGCCGCCGCCGCCACCACCCCGCTCGACGTCTGCAAGACCCTCCTCAACACGCAGGAGGCGCAGGCCGTGCACCTGCTGCGGCCCGCCGCCGCCGCCACCACTTCGGCCCCCGGCGCGCGCCACATCTCGGGCCTCGGCGAGGCCTGTCGGACGGTGTACCGGACGGGCGGCGCGCCGGCCTTCTTCAAAGGCGTCCACGCCCGCATCATCTACCAGATGCCGTCCACGGCCATCAGCTGGTCCGTCTACGAGTTCTTCAAGTACGTCATCACGGAGCGGCGGCACGAGCGGAGCCGGCGGCGCGGGGGAGGCGATCGAGACGGCGCCAAATGAAGTCGAGTTCAAAGCGCCGCGGAGACGCTTGGTGTCTGGAATGTCTGTTGATGCCGGAGGCTCCGCCCCCACCGAGCCAGCTGTTCATCCCCTGCGTTGGTCGCCGAAAAACGTTATTATTTGTCATTAAAAGCAAACGTAACCCTGATACAAATACCTAAGAACTGCATCACGACACGTCGCCGGCTGCCCACAGGGGGGCGCTCTTCTGTTCAACATATCAAGATTAAGTGCAGCAGAAAACGTGATGCCCCATCGCAGGATCCCTGTTATTGACTCGTGTGGTTCTAGTTTTGTTCACATCACCGCAGCACTTAAAGCGACTTCTTCAATATCAAGACGATACTGAAGAAGAAGAAGAAGAACGCGGGATAACGTGTACGCCTGCCTTCAGTTAGCCGCTCACATCAAACGCACAACTACTAGAGAGGATGACATTGTACATAATATACAGTAAATATATATAAACTCTACTGGGTTACGTTTCTAAGCAAGCCTCTATGTCGACTCGAATACAGAGAGGGGATGATGTGGTAGATTGTCGACTAAGAGAAGCTTGACTACTATGAATTAAAACGCACCGTACGGATTAAACTGGGGTTTAAAAATGTGTCGTCCGTGAGGAGTTCAAAGGTCGGGGAACCGGGACTCGTTGGCACGACACTAATGTGCAAAAGCTTGACGCCTGTATGTTGTGAAGTGTAAATAAAGTGGAGAGGCAGCTCCTCGCAGAAGCAGGGTCTTCTCTTGGTGCTGGCTCGCAAAGAGAGAACTTACCTGGGCTCCTCGTCTTCCTTCTGCACTGCCTTCAGATATTCATCACGCAGGTGAGGAGGCCAAACTTTATTCAGGATTCAACACAAAGAATATTGAGTTCAAAAAAATTACTGTTGCATCACCTTTGGCTTGGAAGTATTTTAATTGCATTTACTAAAATATGAATTGCTTCTTAAATTAATTGACTTAAACCACAAATCATCTAAACCTGATTGAGAAAAAGATCTCCAATAGAACCAAAAGTTAAAGCTCCAGCTTGTTGAAAGCTTGAAGAGAACTCCGATCGAACTCAATAGAGATGCAATGGCCAAATGAAGATACTTTATATATATACACACAATTGCAGCGTGAAGCAGGATCGGCAGGAAGCTTTGTGTCCTCTCCAGCGTCCCGTTTTGCCACAGGAAAGCGAGCACCTTCGCTCCGAGGGCCCCCGCGGTGGTTTTCCCCCGCCCTACAAGGTTTAACCAGGGCTTTCATTTGGTTTACCCTTCCCCCCCCCCCCCCCCCCCCGTTCCCTCTCCAGCAGCGCTGCACTGAAACGTAAGAAGATCCGTTTAGTCAGTGAGGAAAGGTCCAGGCATGTGAGGTCATGGCCCCCGACGCATGGCAGCAGGTCGGGGCCAAGGTCAACTTTGTGTGTGTGTGGGAGGGAAAAACCAAGATAAATGAGGTGTCAGTAACTCAACTCGCCGTGTGTGTGTGAGACTAGTAAATAGCTCTGCCTGCAAGTCACCCGAATATAGACGATAACGTATATTAGTAGGAACTTCACACAAGGCCAAACGCCACACCACGGGGTTCAAAAGGACTTTCTATCCTACACTTACACCGGGGTAACAAGTCTACAATGTATCACTAGTCCTCGTATCACAAGCTTCATAATTGTGCATGAAAAGCTTCCTAATATTGTCTCTGGCTATTCAGGGCTATTTCTTCCTGGAATTAACATGTCACGTTAGCTCCAAAGCTAATGAGGCAACAGCAGCGTTGTTGCTTGTTGATGTTGTTCAACAGCTTTGGTTTCACTAAAAACTTAAGACATAAATGTCAAACTCCAAACAAAGTCTCCAGCAGTCGTTTTCTGGGGAACATAAATATTTGTACAAAACGAAAGGACAAAGCATCCAACAGATGTTTTGGTCTGTGACCAATGATTGCGGTCGATTGCTACTTTTGTTGTACAAATGAGTAGAAATATCTTTCTGTATCATTTTTTTAGATGTTTTTTTTTTACTTTGCTTCCATGACGCACCACATACGCCCACATACACACCACCCACCATGTCAAATTCCTTGTATGTCTACTGTGGCAATAAACTTCCCTGATGATATTTTTCAGCTTTTCAAATCCTTTTTCGGCCTAATATCTTTAACTTTTTTCCATTACATTCCGGAGAATATTGTTTTAATTTTTTTTTTTTTCAAAAATAGATATTTCGTTTCTTTTATAAAACATTTTCAAATGAAAATATATTTTTTTCAAAACGTTACATGTAATGTTTTTTTTAAACTTTCTTTGAAAAAACATTTTGAGCTGTAATTTTTTGACTTTTTTATTTTTTTTTTTTAAAAGTGCAACGTAAGAAATGTTGCGTTGCTTCTCAGGTTGATTCTGCTTTACTAACCAAATGCTCATTGAAAGTTACAAATCTATTGATCATTCAGTGGGTAAAACAAAAGAAAATGCACTTTTTCAACCTCCCAGATCACAGTATTTTGCAATACTGTTTCAAATCATAAATATCAATCATAACTATTCTGAAAAATACTTATAGACAGAGGATTTATTACATGAATAGAAATAAGTCCTAAAAATATGATGGTATCGATTAAATAAATCCTTAACCAATAATGCACCAATACATTGTGAGAATACTTCCTTCCTCCTTGTATTAGTGTATATTTACATTATAGTTAAATTATTAACCAATCACTTGAGTATATTATACCACACAAGTTCCCTCCTAATTATTATTAATCTCCTCTCATTTAGGAGGGAAAGTTAATATCCTCAAGGATAAAATGAACAGGTCTCAGAGGCCCAGATCTTCTCCTGCTGGTTCATAAGCTTTATTGCTCAAGACTCCTCTGCTGTCAGCTGCCGATGAGAGCTAGAAACATTTTCCCTGCCCAGATTTTCCCAGCTGGTGTAGAACTCAAATTAATGGTTCTAATGATTTTTGGTGAGACGCAAACTGCAATTTATGTGTGTTATTGCAAAGCCTGACAGTTTGGGATAAATCTGTGTGGGTCGCGTTGGATAAACAGCGCACACTCCTGTTTCTTCCCAGAAAACATCACGTTTTTCAACCCAGAAAGCCGCAGCGGCGAGCGGATAAATGTGGATCGCAGGGTAAATATTTAGATATTTGGGGTTGATGGACGAGTTCTGGTTTTGGCCCGCGGACGTCCTCCCCGTCTCCCGTCCCGGGACACACGGGAAACCAGTTAAAGAAGACATCTCCAAACATTGACGTCCATTGTGAAATGTGCAAGGTTGACGTCAGCGAGCATTACGTGTGAGCTGACTCAGAAGACACTGAGCAGCCTCTGAAGAGCACTTTGCACTAAAGCCTGCATGTGTCACATCTTCAATTGGTGGATATCTCATTTAAGGGCCAAACTCCCACAGGCTGCTCTCCACAGAGATCCACGGGGATATTTAGCGGAGTCAGGACGCATAGCGGCGCAGCAATAGATGCTCTTAAGTTCTTCAGCACCAAACAGATAATTGGAAGGATGAAATATGGTCATTTTGGGATTCAGCCGTATTCCGTTGCCTCAATCCTCGATAACACCAACATGAATGTGCCCGGATCAATTTAGAATTTGTTATTTGTCACTGCAAACTCCAAATTTGATCAGTGGAGAGAAGTGGCTGTTTGTACACATCTTCAGTATCAAGGTCAACTCTCTTAATGGAACAGAAATGAAGGGAAATGGAGGAAGCTGTTGTAGGTTGTTAGCCCGGTCGTGTGAGTCCTTTGCAACGTATTCCTCCTCTGGGGAGTAGTTCTCACTACCGACACGACAGGAAAGTTTTGCCACAAGGAGCTTTGATTTAGCCGCGGTGGACGGGTCTGCTGGAGGCCTGGTGGAAAATTTGCTGAAGGACCTTCTGGTGAACCTTTAGGCTAGAGTCCAGGTCATGTTTCAGGTCTTTATGCTAGAGTCCAAGGCAAGTCTCAGGTCTTTAGTCTAGAGTCCAAGTCATGTCTCTGGTCTAGGCTAGAGATCAAGTCTCAGGTCTTTATGCTAGAGTCCAAGTCAAGTCTCAGGTCTTTAGGCTAAAGTCCAGGTCAT